ATTGGCATTTACTTTATAGCAGAATATGTCTGACTTAGCATCTCAACAACCAGATTTCTAGCATTGCCTCATAGAATCTTCATAATTCAAATTTTAATTTACTGCAGGTATGCCATAAGCATGGAGTAATACACCGAGACCTAAAACCTGAGAACTTTTTGTTTCTAAATAAATCAGAAGACTCTCCACTTAAAGCAATCGATTTTGGCCTCTCAGTGTTCTTCGAACCTGGTAGGACTCCAGCGATTCCAATTTCTTCATATCTACATTTTCTTATAATTGTATAATTATTTTGTACTTGTTATTAAAAGGCGAGCAATTCAGCGAGATAGTTGGAAGTCCATATTACATGGCACCAGAAGTTTTGAAGCGCAATTATGGCCCAGAGGTTGATGTATGGAGTGCTGGGATCATCCTATATATCCTTCTCTGTGGAGTCCCACCCTTCTGGGCAGGTATTTTGTCCATGCGTGTTTCTTCTGTAGTCGTGTTCACTTGAGCAAGGTTTTATCAACCAAGGTGTTATGGAAAAAGAACTGTGATTTTTTTAGCAGAGAAGTTTGTATAGTTGAGTTTGTTATTATTCCTTATCCAATTTGATGTTATCATCTTTATCAAAACTTGGCTTCCTTTTCTGATTCAATCTGCCATTGGGTTTTCTTAGGAGAAAAAAAAACATTTTTTCCAACCTTGATATTTAAGCTATACTCATTCTGTTTATTCCTACTGGAACATAGAAATAATAATGATAGACAGCACTGATTTTATTTTTTTTTTTGGATGGTTTAAATACATATCACACAATTCTTATGTACTGACATGTCTAATAGTTGAAGTTTATTTTTACATTTTTGGCACTTTACCTATGTATGAAAGTTTGTATATGACTTTTTAAAATTTAGTAATAGTGGTATTTTTAATGTGATAGGAAAGACTTAAGTGTTATAAATGTACAAATGAAAATTTACGTGTTAGATATGTAAATTTATACGAATTGTGGTATGTATGTAAATGCCCCAAACCCTCGTGCCCCCACCCACTCTTTTTTTATGCCCATTTTTACTTTCAGATATTAAAAAACAACAAATACAGATAAATACATGTTTGGAAACTAAGCTTTCGTTAAAAAAACTTGAAAATAATAGGATTAAGAATTAAAATTTTTTAGTGTTAAAACCAGGAAAAACAAAATAGCAGATAATTAGAAAGGGTTTAAAGATATAATTAAAATTCATTCTAAGTAATGATTCAGTTGACATTTTCATGTTCTACATTAAGAAAATCACCACTCATGTCTAATAAAAACAAGCACCATAAGCAGTTTTGTCACTGTCTGATATCTGATTAGTCATCTGATTTGAAAAACAGATAGTGATGAAGGAATTGCCCAAGCGATTATACGGTCGGTTATCGATTTCAATAGGGAGCCATGGCCAAAGGTCTCACAAAATGCCAAGGATCTTGTGAAGCACATGCTTGATCCAAACCCTAATACAAGGTTTACTGCTCAGCAAGTCCTTGGTAAATCCTATAGCAATCTTCTTTGTCTTTACATATTGTTTATCTTTCTTTTCTTTAAATATAAAGCACTATTACGACTTGATCTTTTCAAATTATGCCCTTGAAGTCATTATTGATTGACCTGTCTTATAGTCTCCATTCTCTCTCAAATTAGTAAAGTTTAAATATTTGATAAGTGGCATGAAAGGGAGTGCCAAGAGCAAATTGATACATGAACCGATCTAATTGAAATGTGGAGCGTTAAAATTGATCTGTGACAAAATTAAAATTTACATGTATATAGTTTTTATTCCTTTTTTGTTTTCTTGTTTCATTACACCAAAGAGAACCAAATTTATTTGGGCCTGAGCTTAACTTAATCATGGGCCAATTTCAATATAATTTCCAATTACAATTTTGGAAATACTTTGTTTGAAACTTATTATTTGGGTTTTCATCATTTTTTCTTCTATGAAATAGTTACTTATTTTATAATATGATAAAATATTCATAGGCACATATATGGGGTCTACTAATCCTTAAGCTATATGTGCACCTACGACTCATTGTTCCCCTTTAATTTTTTTGCATGAAGAGCATCCTTGGTTGCAGAATGCTAGTTCAGCTCCAAATATTCCACTTGGCGAGGCCGTCAGGTCTAGGTTGAAGCAGTTCCTCGTGATGAACAAGTTCAAGAAGAAAGCTTTAAGGGTAAGCATATGTCTCCCACCTCTAGATCTCAACCAAAATACAGGAAATAAAGGTTCAATTTATTTATTATTATTATTATTATTTAGATCTATAAATGAATGAAAGCAATTATTTTTATTTATAGGTTGTAGCTGACCAGCTGCCTTCAGAAGAAATTAATGGAATCATTCAGATGTTTAATATGATGGATGAGGATAAAAATGGAAACCTGACATTTGAAGAACTTCAAGAAGGGTTCCACAAGATTGGACATCCTGTTCCAGAACCAGATATCAGGATGCTATTGGAAGCAGTAAGTGCTGCTCTGTTTCAGTTTTCATTTTTCTATTTTTTTTTTTACAGTAAGTGCTGCTCTGTTTCAGTTTTCATTTTTCTAATGTTTTTTATTTTAATTATTTATTGCAATCAACATTTCTCATAGCTATACAATGCAAAACTAGCAATAATAGTGTTTGGACGAAGGCGTGGCTGGGGAAAGCAGTCGCCACCCCTAAGTTTTTCTAAACCCTTTAATATCATATAATACATTAAAAATTTTTGCTCCAATAAAATTTAAATATTTAATAATAATTAAATATTAATTATGTTTTTAATTTAATAATAATATTTATAATAATTTTAAAACGTAAGTAGATTAAAATTTTTAACATAAATATCCATCACCCCATAATTTTTTTTATTTCATCGCCCCTCTCTTTTAAGTTCTGGTTCCGCCTGGTTAAGATCATATAACCATTACAGGCAGACACAGATGGAAACGGCACGCTGGATTGCGATGAGTTTTTGACCGTCTCTCTGCACCTAAGAAAAGTGAATAGCGAGCAGCATCTACCTCAAGCATTCAACTACTTTGACAAGAATGGTAGCGGATACATTGAGATTGATGAGCTGAGAGAAGCTCTTGGCGACAGTCATCTCGATCCGAACGATAAAGTAGTTCGAGAAATCATATCAGATGTTGATATGGATAAGGTCATTGCCAGATCTTTATCTAATCATCTCATCCTCAACCTAATCTTTCCTTTGGAGTAAATGTCATAATAGTCAATCTTTCCTTTGGAGTAAATGTCATAATAGTCCTCTCACTATCTGCATTGGATCCTTTTAGTTCCCGAGTTTATAAAAATATTAAATTAGCCCATGTACTATTTTAGGGTCCATTTGGGGCAACTTATAAGAGCGGGCGGCCATACCATTTGGTTCGTGTGTTTTAGGGTCCATTTGGGGCAACTTATAAGTGCGGGCGGCCATACCATTTGATTCGTGTGTTTCCCCAGCTTATCTGAAACTGCGTTTGAGTTTTTACACTAAACGCAGGTCGCAGGTCGAACCCTGCGGCCGGCGCGTGGGCCGCGTTTCAGGATAAACAGCTTTTTCTGAAACGCACAAGCTGCCCCAAACAGATCCTTCTTCCCAGAGTTTCAAACTAGTCTTCATAGGAGACTATATCAAAACCCGTATTAAAAGAGTTTGGGGACTAGATTGACACTTCTATATAGCGTGGGACTCAAAATGACCCCTTACAAAAAGTCAAGGGACTATTTTGACGCTTTTCTCCTTTGTTTTGCTACAAATCTCAATAGTTAGTTTATTGTTTATCCTGATTTTTCCAGAACTCAAATTTGATGTTTACAGGATGGGAAAATTAGCTACCATGAATTTGAAGCAATGATGAAGTCAGGAACAGATTGGAGGAATGCGTCGAGACAATATTCTCGAGCATTTTATAATACGTTGAGTCGAAAATTGCTCAAGGAAGCGTCCAAGCCGCCTAGACCGGTTGAGCACGGTAATGGGGTCAAGTTCAGCATCTGAATGTGATTTTGAAGGCCATGCCCAATTTTTTTATATTTTGAAAATTTAATGTATAGATTGTTTAAATGTATTTTTATTTTGAGGTTTTTCCATTCTTTACTGGCCGTAAGAATATAATGAAAAGGGAGCTCAAATATATGTGTATTCTTAATGCATTACTAAAGGGAAAGGATTTTGATATTTTATATAAAACAGTTACTGTGAATTGTCTTTATAAAGTGCTTCTAAATAAAGATTGTTTTTAATTATCTACTTGAGTAATTGATGGGTTTAGTAGAAAAAAATATTACATCAGGACTCTGTACGTAGAGCTACGTGAGTGATTGTGTGTTATTCAGGTGTTATTGTATGTTATTCAGATGTTATTGTGTTATGGGAATATTCCCAGTGTTATAATAACACAATAACACATTAATAATACTTGAATAACACATAATAACACCTGAATAACACGAGAGAAATATTTCCTTGTGTTACCGGGCCGATCACCTCCACGTAGGGTTGTCAAAATGGCTCGTTGTTCGCGAACAGCTCATGTTCGACTCGATAAGAAGCTCGTGTTCTGCTCGTTCGCTAACTTAACAAGCTGAACGCGAACAATACGAACCAATATTTGTTCGTTCGTGTTCAGTTCTTTTTGGCTCAAAATACTACTAATCAATTATATATATATTGATGATTTGTATTTTTAAAAAAATTAATTGACTACAAGACTATTAAGATTTATAATCAATTAAAAGTATTAATGAAGAAAATAGAATAAAAATTATTAAATTAGATTCAAATGATATTTTAAATCTTGCCTTAATCTTTAACATTTTATGACTACGTGATTAAGGTTGTCAAAATAACTCTTTATTCGTGAACGGCTCGTGTTCGGCTCGCTAAGCAAATGAGCCGAACACGAACACATTTTTTGAGCTCGAAATATAAACGAGCCGAACACGAGCA